GTGTCACGTCAGTCTACAGTAAGTGTCACGTCAGTCTACAGTAAGTGTCACGTCAGTCTGCAGTAAGTGTCACGTCAGTCTACAGTAAGTGTCACGTCAGTCTACAGTAAGTGTCACGTCAGTCTACAGTAAGTGGTACGTCAGTCTGCAGTAAGTGTCACGTCAGTCTACAGTAAGCGTTACGTCAGTCTACAGTAACCGTTACGTCAGTGTACATTTGTATACATACTTTAGTTTAAGTAAGAGCTTTAACGCACTTGTAATACAAATACGTCACATTATAAGTTACAAAGATTAGAGGTATCATTAGAGAGTAACAAACAGATAATAAAAGAGAGATAAGGACAACAGATGTTTGATAGGAAAGAAGAAGCAAACCACCCAGAGCACCTGCCGACCACCCACTCGTCAGCATATGGCCAGTTGACGTCCGCACACAGTAAGGATGACGTCAATACACGGTGCTGATGTCATCATACAGTCAATGACGTCAACAACGTGTAAGTGACGTCAAAATACGGTGAGTGTGACGTCAGCGTCAAGTCAGTGAGGTCAACATTTGGCTTGTGACGTCACCACGAAATCAGTTACATCATCCACACTTTCTCAAGCGATTCTGTATCGACGGTTTAGCCAGCTTACCCCCTCCTCCCCGCCACCACCAACCCTTTGTCCTCCTTCAGGAGGCGGGCTGTTTCAGTCTAGCGTGCCCAGGCTAACTTGGTAACATATGTAACATAGGACGGCTCTCTCTATTCTCTCCCTCCCTCGCACCATATTCTTTAATCATTAAGGAGACGAGCTGTTTCAGTCTAGCGTGCCCAGGCTAACTTGGTAACATACGACGCCTCTCTCTTCTCTCCCTCCCTCACACCATATTCTTTAATCACGTCCTCCTCTTTCCCTCTCACCCTCCCTCTTTCTTTGTCTCGCTTTATATCTCTCTCGCTGTGCCTTATTTACTTACCTCCCCCTTCCTCCTGATCTCGTGTCTTAGTGTCTTTGTCGATTAGACAGTCAATTGGTCTACTTGTCTGTCTGTTTCATTTTCTTTATCTTGCTTTTTCGCGCTATTGATCATTCTTTGAATAATATAATGATAGTTGTAAACGGCTTTTTGTGTTTGTTTAAAAATCATATTACTAGTAATATTTGGCTAGATCTATGTACTTTGAACGCTGTATCTATTGTCTGACGAAAGGTCATAGATTTACATTTTGTCGACATTCTGATATCCCTATTTTTATCTTACAACAAGGAAAGAGGAAACGAAATTAATTTGGATTCCCTTTTGTTTGTTTATTATTTTTTTTACTTTCTTGTTCTTTTGTTCCCAGGGTATAATATATGACTGCTATGGAGTGTACCTAGTAGGAAACCTTTTCTTATTTTGTCGTTTAAGATTTGTTTGCGTCTTTTCGGCTTTTATTTTGTTTCGTTTGTTAAAACTTTTCTATTCACGGTATTTTCTGTTTATCTGAGCTCATCAAACGTGGTAGATAAACACTACATATTTTGACTGAAACTAAATTGGGACTTACAACACTAATCTCGAAGACTCCGAGAACGTTGCCTCGGAAATTATGTAAGCACTTGTAAATATTCTTGTCTAATACTAGAATACCGAATGAGCAAAGCAAAGCACAATTCTCAACGCATATTTTTTTCGCTTTAAAACTTGACTAGTCACTCTCCAGACATCTTAGAATTAAAGTTTTACTCACACAACAAAATTTTAAGTGTCGTGGAGTTTCCTGTAGTTGCACTGCTTTTGTCACTTTGGTTGTTACTCCATTTAAATTATTAATGAAGCATGCCCCCCCCCCCACCCCCACCCCACCCCCAAATACACATACGCTTTTTTAAGACAATGACATTTCTGGCTTCCTAGAACAATCATGGAAAAGAGCATTCATTTCTTAGATAACAGTGTTAAGTGGTTTCATGATCCAGTTCTGAACTCCCCGCTCGATAGGAACTGCCACGGGCAGCAAGTGGCGCCCGATCGTCGTCCAGCTACTGGCTGCAAAAATAGACAACTTAACATAGCCACATGGAATATGAGAACAATGTACCAGAAAGTCAAATTAGATCATATAGAGCAGGAAATGGATAGGATGAAGCTAAGTATGTTAGGCCTTTCAGAAGTTAGATGGGAGGGGTCAGGCTTTATTAAAAGAGGATCCAAAATAATCGTATACTCAGGAGGAAAAGCCCATGAAAAGGAAGTCGGAGTTTTATTTGACGGAGCAACAGCAAAGAGCATCAAAGGTTTTTGGGGAGTGACATCAACAGTCATCGTGGCTAAATTAGAAGGAAAACCTTTAGACATAGGTTTCATCCATATATATGCTCTAACATCAGAGCACGACAACGAGGAAATTGATATCTTTTTTAAATGAAGACCTTGATAAGACAATGAAACAGTTAAAATCACAAGATGTAAATGTAGTCATGGAGGACTTAAATGCCAAAGTAGGAAGTGCACGTATAGAATATATAGTTAGGCTGTGGGGACTCGGTAAAGAGAATGAACGCAGGAAACGACTGATAGAATGGTGCAGAGAAAATAATTTTATAATATCAAACACCTGGTATAAAAATCACCCAAGAAGACGATACACTTGGAAGAGTCCTGGCGATAGAAGTAGAAATCAAATAGACTTCATGCTTATTCTGAAACGTTTTAGAAATGCAATTTAATCGTCTAAATCACTGCCAGGAGCAGACTGTGATAGTGACCGTGTGTCAGTCATGTGTAAAATGCAGATGAGACTGAAGAAACTAAAAGAGGCAAAGTGCTTACCAAAATTTGACATAGGTTTTTTAAAGACAAATCGAGAACTGAAAGAACGTTTCTCCAAAGATGTAAGCAATAAATTTCAAGCTCAGGAAAACACTACTAAATCGGAAGAATATGGAGGAAAATGAAAGACTCAATAATGGAAAAATATATCCCCCCGAAAGCTAAAAGAGCAAATAGAAAATGGATGGCCCAGGACATATTAAAACTAATGGAAGAGAGAAGACAGGTAAAATTAAATATGGAAAAGCTCATCTTAAACAGGGAAATAAAGAAAAAAATGCAACGAATCAAAAGAAACACAGATAAATGATCTGTGTCAACGAATAGAGAAGAATCAAAACAAAGACAGCAAATATATGCATTACAAAATCGAAGAAGTAAGTGGGATAAAAGGATGCTCAAATACAGGGGATGTCTTAAACAGATGGTCAGAATACTTAGAAGAACGTTTCAAATATAATAGACGAGAAAACCGGTAATAAAGAATGAAATCAATGGACCGCCAGCACCGAAAGCAGAAGCGCAAGCTGCCATTAGGAAAATGAAACGAGGAAAAGCCATATAGCCAGGTACTATTCCAGTTGAGGTGATTGTCGCGCTTGAAGAACTAGGCACTGAGCAAAGCTCCTAAATGCTATGACAGCGGTGAGATCCCAGAGGATATGCTGAAGTCAGTTTTTATAGCTTTACCTAAAACACCAGGTGCCACTGAGTGTAATATAACAATTTGCCTTGTGAGTCATTTTACAAAAATATTGCTTCGAGTAATAATGGCAAGATTGAGAAAAAAAATCAGCGCCTCAAAATTAATTTGCTCATATTATGAAAAATATTTAATATATTTAATTTTTTATGATCTAGTCGGCTCGATCTTTTTTAAAAGTGAATATTTTGGCCTGCCTCGATGTGGTCGAGAGGATTGATAGATACACACACACTACACACACACTACACACACACTACACACACACACACACACACACACACACACACACACACACACACACACACACAACGCTCTTCCGATCATTATTATTATTATTATTATTATTATTATATATATATATACCTCCTCAGCGTGACCGTAGTCTGAAAATGTGGAGGCCAGTTTAAAACGAGGTCGCAGTAGCCTACGCGAGACAATAGGATGGCAGTCCCGGCAGCGCAATCAGATCACCGAAAGGGGAATCAATTAAGACTGTGCTTATTGTACAACTACAAATATTATCTTAATTGGTTGATTTATGATAACTAGATTTCTACATCTAGACTCCAGTTCTAGTCTCATTTCTCGTTC